ATCTTTCACAGTCATGTATCAATGAATGCAACTTCTGATTTGTTCATTCTGAATCTTCTATGTTAGAAATCACATGACAATTTATTTCAGTCTGTTCTGAGAGACGGTGTGGGGTGGGGAGGTGAAGGAAATAAGGTAGAGGGGAGGAAGAAAGAGAAGAGGTGGAAAACATGACCAAAGTGGAATGAGAGAGAAGAGGAAAGATTCATTCTCACGGAAACATTCCTTTTCTCGTGGAAGTTGCAGCTAACTAGAAGTAATTTCCTGTAGACTGCTCTTTTTTCCTATGTTACTCATTATTCGGTAAGAGGTTAATATATTGTTATTTCTAAAATACTCTAAAATTGTATTTTTAAGTATCCTTTGAATACACTGATTTCCAATTTAAAAAAAAATACTATAAAAATTAAATTAAAAAATTATAAATTAAAATTGAAATATTAATTACTGTCAGGGCATGCAGATAAAACATTTTTGTTGGTGGTGAGAATAGAAAATGATTCGGCTCTTCTGGAAGACAATCACATTGAAATTGTACATAGACAGCTTATGATATAGAAGTGAACCATAAGCATCCAATCAGCTTTTAAATATTGTGCAAATCTTGCTCATGAATATTCCTAAGAACTTTCTTTATAATTTTCTTCAGTAGAAGAATGAAAAAACAAGCCATGATATAAGTAAAGAAAGACATATTATTCAGATAAAAAGATATTCCTATCAAGCCACAAAATAGATGGTTAATCTTAAATGCTATTGCTATCTGAAATAAGCCAGAAGAAAGTCTCAATACTGTGTGATGTAAATTGTTACATAACATTTGGGTTAGGTAAAACTATAAAGATAAAAATCAACTATGATTTCCAGGAGTAGATACAGAAGAATAAAAGATGAATTGGTAAAGTGGGGAAATATCTATTTTTCACCTTAGAGAAATCATTTTTTCCCTTTTTTATTGAGTCACCATTAATTACCGTGTTAGAAGGTTAATGACCGAGTTTCAAATGTTCAATGTTTCAACACGGATCCCTTCATCAAAGTCCCCCACCAACGTCCTTAGTCCCCTCCAGCCCTGTCTCTATGGCAGAGGCTGCTTTTAATCTCTTTTCAGCACCTGTCCCCTACTGAGCACCTGTCCCCTGCTGTCCCCTGCTGTCCCCCCTGCACCACTGTCATTGTGTCGGTCCCTGTCCTGCCCCCCTCCACTCCCAGGGCAAGCCTCCTCCTGGGGACCAGTCTCAGGTTCTTTGTATCATTGTTTTGGGGCACTTGTTCTCCTAGTATCTTTCTGCATATCCTGCAGTAACAGCATCGGGGACATTTGAAAAGCAAAATTCTTCTGTCAAAATAGAGAGTTTTGCAGCACTGAAGGAAGATCTTAATGCAAAGTGCCTGAAATGTGATGCCCCTGGGTTTGGTGAAGGGCTCCTTGCCCCGGCTGCACCGGTCACTGTTTGCCTGATGAGATTCTCCGGGGCCTTCTGCTGCCACCCTCATCCCTCCCGTGTGGGGACCCAGGGACAGTGTGGACGGACGCAACTGTTCATGAGGCCTAGCTTCACCACGTCATAGCCAAGGCTGCACTGAAGACCAGCGTTTGTGTGTAGGAGAGACACTTTCAGTAATGTCTGGAAACTTGGGATTGTTGGAAACTAATGTTTTATAGTCCTGAGAAAAGTTGAGTTATTCCCAGGCATATTCCAACACGTGACCTACATCCATGCTTGCCTGGGAACGTTAAATTCCTCTAATTCTGCTCTGTAGCCAAGAATGTCAACGACAGCAATGATTCCCACATAACTTGTTTTTCTTTCCTTTAGGAGCAAACAATAATGAGATTTTCAAGAAATTATATGAACATGGTGATTTACAAGATTGTTCATAGAGAAATGGCATTTATTTCTGCTTTTTAATTTTTTTTTAGCATTCCACTGTACTGTACAAGTTTCTTGTTTCTGTTCCTCTGGTTTTTTTTTAGTATTCATAGTTTTCTAAGCTGAGTAGCATGTCATCTGCAAAGAGTGATAGCTTGATTCCTTTTCCAACATGGATTCCCAGAATATCTCTTTTTTCCTTATATGTTGAATAATAGTAGTGAGGGTGGGCAGACCTGTCTTGTAACAGACCTTAAAAAGAGGCTTTCAATTTTTCACTGTTGAATATGATATTAGCAGTGGTTTTGTGATATATGACTTTAATTTTACTGAGAAAAGTCCCTTCTTCCCATTTTATTAAGTGTCTTTATCATGAATGTATATAGTCCATTATGTTAATTAATCTGCATACATTAAAACATGACGTCCTGGGACAAAATTCTTGCAAACATGGGACAAATTCTAGTTGTTCTTTGATCTTCTACATGTATTGGTAGGTTTGGTTTGCTAACAAAGAGGTGAACAACACATTCAAATAAAGCTGTAAAATTACTCCTAGAGGGAAGGAAAGAAGACAGAAACCAATGGATCTACTCATAATGGGTTAGAAGAATGTTGTCAAAGGACAATCTTATCCTAAGAGCTATATAAATGCAACAAAGTCCCTCTACAACACTCATGACAGTTTTTTTAAATAGGCCAAAAGTTAAAACTCATAGAAAGCAACAAACGCCCCCCACGAAGAGCAAGCAGAGGTTCCGGATATTTCGCAGTGGAACCGTTGAGGTGGTGAAGGGTGATATGTATTCCCTCAATGTATTTTTAAACAAGGTACATTGCATTTATATACAAGCATACATCATTGAAATCAACATATGTATAAACTCCATAAAGTTCAAAACTAGACATGTATGTTAACAAGAAATTTGTCTGAACTGATGTTTCAAGAGTAAATAGATGATACACTAAATATGTTTTATTTAACACAAAATATGCTCATGTAACTTACTTTCCTACACTTTTTATTCTTTACATTTTATATAGGGAACGTTTAAAAATCATGTGGAACATATACTGTTGCTATACTGATGATTGTATTTTTGTCTATGGAGTCACTATACATTTACAATAATATTCATGACAGGGCTTTATGTATACAATGTTCCAACCCTCCTCCCCAGAGTCTCCTAGTATTGTCTTAATTCCCAACCTGACTGCCCCCTCACAGGCCCCTGCCCCTGACAATTAACCTTCCCGCTATTCTGTGGTGGTGATTTCAGCTCTGTTTGACTCCCTTGCAGGTTCTACAATCCCCACAAATGAGCGAGGTCATTAACCTCCATTAAGATCTTTGGACCGATCTCTCTCCCTTTTTCATCTATAATAAATATGCAACCTCCCCAGGGCTCCATTCAGCATGACAATGTGTGAGACTGAAATTGTAGAGAGTGGGATTTCACTCTGCTAAAGTGAAAATTAGAGACCACTTTAAGGGGAAGTTCAAAGGAGGAAACAAGTGACCTTTCCCGCCCAGCAAGAACTTTGATGTTTATTTCCAGCACACTCATGTTTTGGACCCACTTCTTTGCTCTGCCCTTATTCATTTAATTCTTCCACATGGGCTTCAAACTAAAGACCTGAGAATCCAGGAATCGCAAGGTTCCAGGAGTGACTGATGTCCACTAAGTGTGGAGGATTTGCGAAAATAAAAAATGAGGAGGAGAATGTCTGCCCAAGTGGTTCTAGGGCACCCACCACTGTTTCCAAAAATGTCCTCTCTCTTTCACCTACTGGATTTCTGTATGAGGTTTTACTTGAATAAAAGGTCAAATTACTAAAAAAAGCTCTAGCTATGAAAAATCATTTGAAAGCCATTGACAGAATGCAGTCCGTCTGGGAAACTAGTATTTGTTATCTCTGCATTCAATGAAAACAAGCATCTTCTGAGTTTATTAACATTATAAAAAGTACTGTTCAGGAATGAAAAGAAACATTTCCAGAATTTGAATGATTAGGGATGGAGATGAAGAGAGAAGTGAAGTAACAATATATTAACAAAATATTTCTATTGGGTACTGATAATTTTGAAAGAAGTGAGCACAAATGGATTCCATGTATAAATATTTGTTAACTTATTTTAGATATGATTGCTATAAATTCTAAGTGACTCTATACCTCCCCTTAATTATGGAGAGCTCAACCTAGGAATCTATTAATATACAACTTGCACGATTACATTCAGTCCGAGAAGGTTATTTTTATAACACTCCCACATACTTAAGAATTTCTTGGCACTGTAAATTTAACTTAATACAATTTTATGCACATGATTTTATATATAAACAAGCATATACTTGCAAATGTCATCATTCCTCTGAACATAATGGACGATAATGCATTTTTTTATTCTCACTAAATTCACATGCTACAAGTTCTTATTCTACTGCAAGAGTATCAGGAAGATTGACCTAGAAACTTCAATTTTACACTTTGGCAGCCAGGTTCTAGTCCATAACAGGCAGAGTAAGTATGAATCCTGCCAAAGGTAATACTTGTCCTAAAATCAAGGTCAGAGATCACATTCAGGATGCTTGGCCTATACTCACTCGTGTTCTGTTTCAGGAGATATATTTGATTTATTTTAGTAATTTAACACTGTTACATCTTTATTATGAATTAAAAAGGAGGCACATGATAGATCTGTAGGTGTTAGTCCTGTGAAAAATGTAAGAAACTCTTTGCAAAGATCAGTTGGATTGTCCCACATTGTACCCTTCCCCTGCATTCCCCATGTCACTGAAATACTGTTTCTCCCCCTGGTTAGGGGTTAGAAACTCCCCATGTAACAAATTATTTGAAAAATAAATTTATAATTTTGATTTCACTGAATGAAGCTCATTAAAAACACAACATTAATTCAGTTTAGTCAGTGAAAAAATAAATTACTAGTAAATAAATAAATTTTTCTCTGCTTATGCCAGGGAAGTTATTTTCAAGCATTATGTTATAAAGTAGGTAAAATATGGTTCATAAGGTAAACTTAGAAGGAAACACTCTGTTTTAGAATTCTAGGAAATCAAATGTATTCACTTTTAATAATGTCTTATGAAAAAATCACAGTCTTACTTTAATTTAGAGCAGTATCTTCCTTGTTCGAAAGTCACTTCTTTGTCAATGTCAACATTCTGAAGAATATTCTAGAGGAAGAAAGCAAAAAGAGAAGATTTCCATAAATATGAAACTAGGAAGACGGTGTCTCTGAATTAAATTTATTCACTTAGTTCATAAGAAATATATGCATTTCATTTATACTTATATATTTTTGATCACATTCTTTTGTTAATTTCTAGAAGTTACTCAAGTTGTTAGTGAGCAAGAAATAAAATAATGGGTATTTTCACAATGTCATTGGATTATGCTCTAAAGGATACATTTTGTGGAAATTGCCTTTAAGAGACTACAAAGGGAATTTGAAAATTTGTTCCAAATTCTCTCTACCTTTCATTGATCTTTATATCTAAACTAAAATACTGAAGCTATTAAAATTAGATTCCAAGTTTGTTATTGATAACAGTTAAAACCATTATTGTGAGGGGCAGACTATTGATTTGATAGCAAGAAGTCAATTAGCACAGCGGGTAGGGCGTTTGCCTTACAAGCGGCCAACATGGCCGACCCAAGTTCGATTCCTCCGCCCCTCTCGGAGAGCCCGGCAAGCTACCGAGAGTATTGGATATGCCAGACACAGTAACAACCAAGTCTCCAATGGAGACGTTACTGGGCCCGCTCAAGCAAATTGACGATCAACGGGACGGCCTTTACCTTTTACCTTTTATTTTAATTGACTCGCCATGAGATACAGAGTTACAAAGCTGATCGTGGTCAGGGTTCAGTCATACAATAATCAAACACCCATCCCTCCGCCAATGTACATTTTCTAGCACCAATGTCCCGAGTATCCCTCCCTCTCCCCCCGTTCCACCCCTCCCCCTGCCTCTGTGGCATTCAATTGCCCGCTTACTCTGTCTCTGCTTATGGGCATTGTGGTTTGCAATACAGATACTGAGAGGTCATCATGTTTGGTCCTTTAACTACTTTCAGCACACATCTCTCATCCCGAGCGATCCCTCCAACCATCATTGACTTAATGATCCCTTCTCTATCCCCGCTGCCCAGCTCATGAGACAGGCTTCCAACCGTGGAGCAGTCTTCCTGGCCCTTGTCTCTCAGTCTCCAGAATCAGCTTAACTGAGGTAAAGGACATATACAAAGAAAGCTGATGTCTCAATAAGTGGTAAGTCAAGGAGAAGTCATATTCAACACATCAGGGTTATCAAGAAAGGCAGAGTGCATAGGTCTTGCTCATTTAAGATAAATATACATCTGCTGTAGTAGATGGATTCAGATTCTCAGTTTGATACTTATTTTGAAAGAAGTCTCTGGTAATACCCTTTGTGAAGAGGTGAGGGGGCCTGTGGACCACTCCCAGGAATATATAGAGTTGAGCAGGCCCAGGACTGCTGGGAGCATTAGGCGCACCCATGATGAAGCTCGTTGATAATTTTGGTTTTGGATATTGAGCTCAGAGTCTACCTGTAAGATATGTGCTGACTTTTAATACGATCCTATGAGATATGAATGATTTCCACACTGGAAACCAAAAACTAGAAAAATCAGCTGGTGAAGTGTGTTAGGTAGAATGCTGTAATTTGTCTTACCCCGGACAAATTTCTCATGTGATTTCTTCATAATGATTATGGATAGAGATTGCGAATATTAAATTTACCTCCTAATGTAAGGTTCCGATTAAATACAAGATGAAGGGGTTTCAAAACTAAAATTTCCCAGGTCAGAAAACTGAATTCATTGATTTGAGGGAAAACTATCTTAGGAGATCGCATTTTCTCAGGACTCAAGCCCTTACAAAGAGTCTGAGCTTGAACCCTAAACAGCTCCTTTTTCCTGGTTTAAAGAAGCTTTGTTCTTGGGAAGGACAAATGCCAGGAGCATAGAAGAGGTGGCCAAAGAGATCACAAACAGCATTGGCGGACAAACAACAAGAAAATGAGAAAATCAGACATACACTAAGTAGATTCTGCCTTAAAAAAAAAGAAGAAGAAGAAAAGAAACACAGCCACAGAGAAGAAAGGCCGTTGGGAGGCTCCACAGCTCTCGGAGAATGCACCAGGTCCCAAACAGAGCCAAGATCACCGGGAAGTCCCAGATAGGGTAGGTGCCACATCCCGCCTCCTCCAGATAGAACCCTGGTGACAATGAGCCTCTACAAGCATAGCTTGAGCATGCGGGAACCAGGACTTTTACTCCAAACCACGTGGCCACACAACATCTCCTTATATACAAAGTGATCAATGGAAAGTAAATCATCCAACGTTTCTCCCTGAAAATCAGGCTTAACTCTTTTACAAACCACAACACCCAATAGGAGAGAGAGAACAAAAGGGAATGCCCTGCCACAGAGGCAGGGTGGGATGGGGGGGATGGGAGTGGGAGGGATACTGGGATCCGTGGTGGTGGGAAATGGTGGAGGGATGGGTATTCAAAATAAATTAATTAATTATAAAAAAAGAAAAGAAAAGAAAGAAAAAAGAAATAAAATCCTGTCAATTTATTTTAAAAGAGAAAGAAAAAAATTAATTCGTTTATGTATCTTTACACATCAGAATATTGGAATTTGATCACAAGATAGCATATCTGAAATGAACATTAGTGCAGGAATTTTCAACATTACATAAGAACTTATTATTATCGATAATATGACTTGTGGGTTTTACACTTTTGTTCTAGACACTTCAAAACTATTTTCTGGGGTGGAGAGATAGTTCAGAGACTAAAGTGCTTGCCTTGCACATCAACAAGCATAGGTCAACCCCCAATATTTCATATTGCCTTCTAGAGCGATACCACAGCAGGTAGGGTGTCTGCCTTGCACATGGCCAAAATGGGTTTGATTCCTCTGCCCCTCTTGGAGAGCCCAGCAACCTCCCAAGAGTATCCTGCCTGCAGGGCAGAGCCTGGCAAGCTACCCATGGCATATTCGATATGCCAAAAACAGTAACAACAAGTCTCACAATGGAGATGTTACTGGTGCCGACTTGAGCAAATCGATGAACAATGGGAGGACAGTGCTATAGTGCTACCATGTCACTGTCCAGAATGATCTGGGAGTACAGTCAGGAGTAAGTCCACATTAGCATTGGGTCTGGTGCAAATGCACTCTCTCTCTCTCTCTCTCTCTCTCTCTCTCTCTCCATAAAAAAAGCCTTTAAGAGTACAAAGTAACTTTAAAATTGTTTTTTCCAACAGTTCTGTAAGCTTATATAAAAACAGAAGCTCTTTTTACTGAGTGATACATTCAAAAACAGCAAGGGAGTTATTGCTTATCCCTTAATCATACACATCGTGTCATTAACTTTGTGCTTGATATATGCCTTTGCCTTCATTCTCTTTGACTGTCAATAGTAGGAAGATTAAGCTAATACATCGTTACTGAGACCTGGATAAGAAAATTGTTTCTCTATATAAATCTTTATCCCCAACATATTAACCGTGTTTGTGAGTTTTAATTCTTCATTAGAGTATAATTAGAGTTTCACATTAGAAGCTTAACATGCACTGCTATCCAGTTTAAGTGATTTAAAATTTGATCCTTTGCATTTTTTTGCAGTAAAAGACATTTCTTTAGGCTCTCTCTCCAATCTAATTATCAATTTAGCATCATAACGATGTACATAAATTTACAAGCCACGTTTTGAATACAGAAATAATAATGGAAATTATGTTTATGTGCAACAGTGTATGGTCTTAAGAAGCATTCCTAGTGAGATAACCAAAACAACTGAACCAAAAACTCCTGAAAGGTAATCCAATAAAAATGAATGAAGATGCCATTTTCCTTACTGCAAAGAACATGTCTTGATAGTACATTTGTGGATCAGCATGTTTGTAAGCTGTGGTAACTTTGGAAATAAAAGATAATCATTGTGGGGCAGAGCAATAATACAGTGTTAGAGTGCTTGCCTTGCATGCAGCCAAACCAGGTTTGATTCCCATGTTTATAGAGCGATTCCTGAATACAGAGCCAGGAGTAAACCCTGACTGCCACAGGGCATGACTTCCCCTCTCCCAGATAATAATAAAAATAAGACTCAGGGCCAGAGAGGTGTGTAGGAACTACAGGTACTTGCCTTGCCCCTACCAATGCCAGCTTGCAGCTACCATGACTTTTAGGTCCTGGAGCACAGCAAGCATCATTTCTGACACAAAGTCCTGAGTAGTCCTCAAGCACCAACAAATGTGGCCCCCAAACAAATGAATAAAAATACTATATTTGAGCATATTATCATGAATCATCATATAATCAAAACCGCTTCCAACAGGGCAGAAACTTGCTTCATAGTCCAACCGAACCTAGAGGTGTCTCTAGAGTTATCATAAGACACTGCTAGGCTTTGAACTATTTCAGCTATATAAGAATTCAAGCCCTAAGCAGTTATTCCTAGTATTTCATCTGCTTGTCTGGGAACCAGTGACACAATCAGATCAAAAAGAACATTACTGTCTCTTGGAATTGAACCCTTGACTATCATAGAAGCCAATTTGCTATCATATATGAATTAACTTGATATAATATTATAGTCATTAGTGATTTAATCTGAAATTAATAATAGAAATACAAAATGTCAAATATATAAAAATAAATTTATCAAAACATCTACAGTTCTCTTTAAAAATAATTTTAATTTAATTTAAACTATCAAAGTCATAGAGAGTTGAGTTTTAGGCATACAATATTTCAACACCAATCCCACCTCCAGTGTCAACTATCCTCCAGCGGTATTCCCATATTCCAACCCCATTCCCACACATGTTGACAGAAAATTTGAAGAAAAATAGTTTTTGTTTGACAAAAAATACCTTTTCTAGGCAGAACAACCCTAAATTACATGGAGATCAAAATGTGGTAAAGACATTATAGACTTTTCTTAAGCAATGAAAATTAATAAACTAATTTCTATTTAAACTTCTTTTTTATAATAAAATTTTCATGATCAGAGCCATAGTATAGTGGGTTGGGCATTTTCCTTGTATGTGTCCTACCTAGTTTTGATTCCTGGCATCCCATATGGTCCCCAGAACACCTCTAGGAGTGATCCCTGAGTACAGAGACAGGAGTAGGCC